TGCCTGGCGTGGCCAGGGTTGGCGTTGATCTGGAGCGCGCCGTGGCACAGGCCGACTACGGCACCGTCAATTTGAACCCGAGAGACATCATCATCTGTTGCTCCAACGGCATCGTTGATAACGTGCCTTACGAGAGCTTCAAGGTCATACTCACAGGCACCGATGATGACGTTCACGCCGCGGCCGACCAGATGGTCAAGTGCGCGCAGCTGCACGGCGCGCCCAAGCCCGACGACATCTCGATCGTGATCGGCGTCGTCGGGTGCGCGTGAGGCCTCGGATTTTCTCGACGAGCGCATTTGGACCACCACAGACACAAAAGGGACCCACGAACTAGATTGAGCAACCGTAGATGCTAAACAAAACACATCCTGGCCGCCTTCCGTGTTTGCGTGGTCGCGAGACCTTGGGTTCCTTCGGCAAAACCGCCACTGTCGCAACCGACGCGCGTGCCTCGGCCGCCAGAGACCAATATGAGAGCCACGGGCTTCATAGAGCAGCTGTAGACGCTAAAAAAACACATCTTGGCCGCCCTCCGTGTTTGTGTGGTCGCGAGACCTTGGGTTCCTTCGGCAAAACCGCCACTGTTGCAACCGACGCGCGTACCTCGGCCGCCAGAGACCAATATGAGAGCCACGGGCTTCGTAGAGCAGCCGTAGATGCAAACAAAAACACATTCGTGCCGCCTTCCGTGTTTGTGTGGTCGCGAGACCTTGGGTTCCTTCGGCAAAACCGCCATTGTTGCAACCGACGCGCGTACCTCGGCCGCCAAAGACCAATATGAGACCCACGGGCTTCATAGAGCAGCCGTAAATGCTAAAAAACACATCCTGGCCGCCTTCCGTGTTTGCGTGGTCGCGAGACCTTGGGTTCCTTCGGCAAAACCGCCACTGTCGCAACCGACGCGCGTACCTCGGCCGCCAGAGACCAATAGGAGAGCCACGGGCTTCATAGAGCAGCCGTAAATGCTAAAAAAACACATTCGTGCCGCCTTCCGTGTTTGTGTGGTCGCGAGACTTTTGGTTCCTTCGGCAAAACCGCCATTATTGCCACCCTCCGTGTCGCCCTCCGTGTCTGTCTGGGCTCAAGCGCGCCAACGTGCCAGAAGATAAGGCGCGCCTGCCCGTTCTCTGCCAGGGTCGTCGGCCAGAGCCGCGCCAAGGCCGCGCCATGGCGACTGGGCGCGTCTTCCCCGCGCCTAAGCGAGGCAAGGCGCGCGCTGTCCTGAAGACGGGGAAGTCCAAGCGGAAAGCCCCGACGCACGCGGGAAAAACAATGGCCCAGAAGCGGGCGCCAAACCAGAGTACGAGGAAAGTGCCCCACGTGCGGCATGGCAAGAGAACTTGCACGTCCAGGCCAGAGCGCAGTGGTTTCAAGAGGAACATGTTCGATTTCATTCGCGCCAGTGACCGCGAGATCGTTGACATGTTGTTGGAGGACAAGATTTTGGATAACTTGGAAGGCCAGACGTGTTCCTTCTGTACGAAAGGAACCCTCGGCCCCCTGAAGGACGTCCAGAACCGCGGCCCTCGGTACCGCTGCAACCATCGCGGTTGCCAAAAGTTCTCCCTGCCCCAGAGCGGGCACATGGTCTTCACCATTCCTAAGGCAACCGAAGGAAGGTGGCCACCAAACACTGCTATTTTCCAAGATTTCTAAGATTTCCGCAACCATCCCAAGGCCTTGCAGAGCAGCCACGCGCACACAGCAACCCTGAATGGCCACCAAACGCTGCTATTTTCTAAGATTCCTAAGGCGACCGAAGGAAGGTGGCCACCAAACACTGCTATTTTTTGTTAAAAACAAATTTTAAGATTTCTAAGATTTCCACAACCATCCAAGGCACTGCGGAGCAGCCGCGCGCACACAGCAACCCAGAATGGTCGCCAAACACTGCTATTTTCTAAAATTCCTAAGGCAACCGAAGGAAGGTGGCCACCAAACGCTGCTATTTTCTAAGATTTCTAAGATTTCTAAAATGTTCGCAACCTTTCAGGCCAGCCTGGGGATGGCTGCGGAAATCTTAGAAATCTTAGAAATCTTAGAAAATAGCAGTGTTTGGTGGCCACCTTCCTTCGGTCGCCTTAGGAGTCTTAGAAAATAGCAGCGTTTGGTGGCCATTCAGGGTTGCTGTGTGCGCGTGGCTGCTCTGCAAGGCCTTGGGGTGGTTGCGGAAATCTTAGAAATCTTAGAAATCTTAGAAAATAGCAGTGTTTGGTGGCCACCTTCCTTCGGTTGCCTTAGGAATCTTAGAAAATAGCAGCGTTTGGTGGGCATTACTTGCCACCAACACAAACAACGCAAAGCTTCCTTAGAGGAATTTAATCTTCAGACCCCATCAAAATGTAGATCTTGGGGGGGGGTGCGACCATATATATATATATATATATATATATATATATATATATATATATATATATATATATATATATATATTAGAGGGAAACAATTAGTAA